CATATCCAGGGTGGAATTAGTTCCCACTATCTTCTATATCTGGTTTATGATGAAAAGAATAATCATCTGAAAATGTATTTTTCTCTCCAAATGCTATATAGGGAGTCTAGTAGCAGGCAGACACATAAGCAATCAAGCATCTACCATTTAATCCTGTGTGAGGCGAGTTTTGTGTTGAGTATCTAATGCCCCTTCCAGGCATTCACTCTGAAATTAAACACCTACAATTTTTATTTCTGACTACTACATCTCTAAAACCAGCATTTGTAAATGGAACTGAACAATGTAGGTGCCTTGCTGAGTTTAATGGGAGAAAATGAACCTGATCCCACATTAGTTCTGTTTTGGTTGCAGAGGGTTTAAAATGCGACTGGTGGCTTTGCTGGGTTAGAAATAATGAATATTTTCTGGGCAATCCAAAAGAATGGTCTGAATTGTCCAGTATCAACCTAGAGGACTGAAATCCAATGTAGTACAGAGGAGGGAGTCCCCTTCCCTGGAGGTGTCCAAGGAACAACTGGATGTGGCTGGCGCTCAGTGCTCTGAGCTGGCTGACAAGGTAGGGATTGGCCATAGGTTGGATTTGATGACCCTGGAAGTCTTTTCCAACCTTAATGATTTTGCGATTATTTAAAAACAAAAAGAATATCCTTTTTCCCAGTTCCTCACAAACAGACATAAATGTAAAATCCACAATATCATTGTAATATGTAGTACAAGGGGGTCCATGGGTTTGGTAGAATCTAAGTTGTCGTAGAAAAGGTTTACTTTTTGATATTTATGATGCAAACATCATAAATATCATGCTTCTCTGCATTCAGAGGATGTGGAGATCTTGCATTATCCTTGACAGCCTTGACACGCTCTTCAGTATGAAAGGAACAGATACCAGACTTTGTTGGGTTTTTGAAGGGAAAAAAAAGAGCAATGCAAATGTGTTCGGTTGCCCATGTGGTTGGTTTTTTTGTTTTGTTTTGTTTCAGTAAAACAGCCTTTGTCAAACAGAACAAGTAAACCTGGAGATCTGAAAATTTGTATTGTGTACAGGGTCTAACTTTTGCCAAGATCAAAAGCTAACAAGGCAAATGGTAGCATCATATTTGGAGCCTCTGACTCCACCACGGCACTGTTGTCCCTCAAAGATCAGAGAGTTTGTAAATCCCTGTTCAAGGGCTGTGCCTTTCTACACCTTTTATAGAGATGAACTCTGAGGTCTGGGATTTTCTCACCCTTCTCCATATAGAGTTCTTGGCTGCTTAGATTGCTCTGTTGAAATTTTGCTGTATATATTTTCCACAACACTTTTCCCCATAGAAACCAGGCATGATGACTTTTAAAAAAAAAGCTGTGGAAAATATTTCAAATAATGCTAAGCTTCTACTGCTTCCCCCCTCCAAGCTTAATAACAATAAATATTTTAAGCAGACAGAGAAGTTCTCCAAAGACCAGGCTGCATTTTCTTATGACATTAAAAAAAATTGAAATAAAAATTAATTCTTCATTACCTCATTACATTTTTGTTGGTAGATCCATTAATTTTTCTTTAGATAAACTGAGCAATGTGTAATTAAAAGAAATACAGCATTTTATTTTTTTTTTTAAGTAGGCTTGTAAGTGTAAGTAAAATTAATCTTGAAAGCTGTGTCAATCTGATCTTTTTATATGGTGGCACGAGTTCTGACACAGCACTGTGGGGATTCTGGCACTGTGACAAATTTAGAAGCAAAATAAAGACTTGATAGCCCATAACTTATGTAATCGACTCTGAATATTTTTTGTATTGCTCTGTTAGCATAAAGTTATAATTTATGTAAGTTGGTTTAGTATCAGTCAAGGAATTTATCCAGCTCAGCAAAATGAGAGGTTTTCTCCAAAACAGCTGCTTTAGTGTCAGCTTACACAAGTGGATGAAATGATGGTGATTTCAGCTCTTCATTTACAAAATGGAAAAGACAAGGAGCCTGCAGGCAACTCCCTGAGTTTGGGTAATATCTGGGAACTCGTTATGGTGCAGTGCTTTGATTGTTAGTGTTGGACTGCCATAAATGCTGTAGAGGGGGACCTATGGATTGACCTACAATATGGGAAACGGCAGAGAGAGCTGCTGGCAACTGAAACCAGAGCAGCTTTTTGTGTGAACAGTGTCCAGAGTACAGCCACCCTTCCTTTCCTGGCTAGTGAGTTAAATAAACCAAGACAATTCAGGTGGAGAGTGCTCAGCCAGGATCTGTGGCAAATAAATCCACACTGCAGCCTCTGTCGGGTAATTTTCCTCACACTGGTGAGTCCTAATTTATGAAAACATTTTCCCACACAAGCTATTCTCCCACCATTTTGGTTCTTTTGGGTTCAGCTGGTCAAGCTGATGGAAGCCCACCAGGGTGTGGAAATCGGTGCCAGCCGGGCTGTGGATTTAATGTAACGAAGGAGCCAAAACTCAGCGGTTTTGTTATGAACCGCTTAGAATTTTTTGCATTCTGCTGCTCCCTCCCCAAAGTCATCAGGTGAAGCAGCTTCTGCCTTTAAGCTGCCCATCGGCCACTCAGGCACTCCCCTCGCTCCGTGGCCGCGGAGGGGCCACAGCCCGCGGAGGGACCCCCGCCGCCGGTGAGTGCCCCGGTTAGCGGCGAGCGCGGGCGCCCGAGGGCGTGGAGCGCCCTTCCTCGCATTCCTCTCTGCATCCTCCCCCGTATCCCTTCCCCCATCCCTCCTATATCACTCCCCGCAATGGCCGCCCCCCTCCCCCCCACCCCCACCCCGCATCCGCTGCCAGGGCGGCAGTCTCGGTGCTGGCGGTGCCGTGCCCAGTTCGGTGCCGCGATTCCGGTGCCCGCTTCGGTCCCGCACCGCTGGCACCTCTCCAGCTGAATCACTCACCCCCGGCCTGGGGAGATGTTGTTGACACATCTCGTCTTCGAGAGGCTGCCTGGGAAAACTGGTGACATGCTGGACGTGGGGGTACCTGAGGGTCGGCCTGTGGTTGATTCCATTCATTTAAACGTCCAAATATTCCCTGAAACATTTGAATTCCTGTAATTACCATTTCCCCCCCCCTCCCCCCCACCTTCCCCCCTCCCTCTCCCGACAAATCAAAAAGCCCAGATACAAAATGCTAGATCAGGGCTGACCTTGCATTTCAGAGCTTTTAATTTTTCTTAATCCTATTGAAATGCATTTCAAAACACTTTAGCTTGTCATGTAGAGAAATGAAATTGCCCTATTTAGAAACAGGAAAATGAAACATGCTGGCTGATTCTGTGTTCATTTTGCCAGAAACAGGAAAATGAAACATGTTGGCTGATTCTGTATTCATTTTGCCTTAATTTTTTCCTTCCTGTTTAAAAAGTTTTGTAGAAAAGACAGAACCGAACTAAATATTCATGTTTTGGTGAAGAAAATTCTGACCATAAATGTTAGTCACTTCTGTCAGAAATTAAATGTATTTTCATAAATATTACCTGACAGTGGTATTTCAGATGATTAGATGGGTTAAAAGTTTTTTATTTTTTAAAAAATTTGTTTTAACAAACACAGATATATAGCAGAACTGAGAGACTTCCAATCCATAATCTTTTTTTCTAAAGCATTTCATATGTGAAAAGGGAAGAAATAAAAGGCAAAAAAAAAGTAAACACAAGTCAAAGGTTTCACGTGCCTTGGAGGACTGTTGAGGTCTGTCTAAGTATAAAGTTGTGTTGGTATTTTGAATCAATGGGAGCTAACAAAAGGTACTAATTGTCTCTAGATCTGAGATTTCTGATTTCTTATCCCTACAACAGTCAGGTCTGAAACATCAGAGAGGAAGGAGCAAGTCTGGGTTTGCCAAGCTTTTGATAAATTCTGCAGTGTTTGGCCTCAGCCATCCAAGTCCATTCTCAGCTCAGCATTCCCTGTAACCCCATTCATGGAAACATGGAAGCATCTTTGACCTCAATCCCTTGGAAACCATTTGCACTCTAATGATCAAGATGCAGCCCCTGGATTCTGCATGGTCTAAGCAGAATTCTGTCCCAAGGGCCTCCAGCTCTAGTACCAAATATCTGAACAGGAATTGGCCTGGGTGATCCTTGTGTGCCCCTTCCAGCTCAGGCTATTCTGTGATTCAAACAGCTGTACTCAAAACCACCCTGCACTGCCACATATCCTGTGCTGCACCACAAGTCCCAGATCTTTGCAATTTATGACCTCAAGTTTTAAGGCTCAAGTGAAACTGTCACAATGGAAAAATCCAAATCTTGTTTCATCTTTGTTTGATGGCACTGCAAGAAATGAGCAAACAAACCAACCGACCACATGTGAGCTCTCTTGGGACTTCTTTACCTCTAACTAAACATATACGATGGATTTTGCAACTAAAAAATGTTATCCCATGTAAATAAGGGCTATTGTATTGAAAATGATATGCCTGGTATGAGCATCAAGTTACTTCGGAATTTTATTTCAAGTATTAAAAAAGCCATTTCACAAGAAGCAGACCTGTGTGATCAAAAAGCGAGATTTGGTCTGTATTTTAAGCAGAAGAGCTGGAGGGACTTAGGTAAGTGAGTAAAGTAAAATATCTGAGTAGACTTTTCTGCTTAATATGGTGGAAGTTTTCAAAGTTATGTTTCAAATTCAAATTTTCCAAGATTAATTACAAAGGAATCAAAAACTGAATCTCTGCAAGCCTGCCAAAAGTTATACTACCTTGTCTAAATCAATTACTTCAGAATAGCCATCTCCTAATAGTCCATGTGCTGCAATGCAGCTTCTTGGAATCTTACTGCTCCAGAGAGGGAAAAATGAAAATAAAAGCAAGCATAAGAAATCCCAGGGGACTGTAGTTTCAGGAGGCAAAAAATTGGTGCTTTTTGCTTGCCTGTCTCTTCCCAGTTTCCTGCCCCCTTCAGCATATGAGAAAGGCAAGAAGAGTTTGTGCACTTTGGAAACTCGATAGGAGGCAGCAGCTGATCTCCCATCACCAGCCTAAAAATAATCCACTCCAGGGCTTGGAGCGGCTTCACTAAGTGGAGGAAAATCCTGACATCGGGATGATATTGACCACATAGCACCGAGTGACAATTTGGGTTGGTATTTTGGGGTTGTGTTTACAAAGGTAAGCTTCAGAGTTTGATCTAACATTTAGCAAACAAACGGGAGATGCGATGACCCTCCCCTCATGATCTCCCACTAACCACCTCCTCCTCCTCCTCCTCCTTCCCTTTATATTTGTGGGACAGGGCTGCTCCTCATTCTTTCCTGGGATTACAACTCAAATCTCTTTTTCCTTTTCCATTCGCGGGCATTCTCAGCTTTTACCATCCCCTCCTGCTGATATTTTCTTTGCTGCTGTTTACAGGGTTATGTTTCTTTTTTTAAACTGTCCGGTCTTGGCAATGTGAAGTCGAAGGTTTTACAACAGGCAGCGTAGCACGCTGGTGTTGGGGATTGCATTGTGTGGAGAAGCTTTCCAAAAAAAGAAAGAAAAAAAAAGCTATGCATTTAGATGTGTGAGACCACTGCAGATGTTTGTGTGAAATGCTTTGCAGTGCCAACAGCCTGTTTAGCACCACTGCCGTTGTGATTTTCCCTGTGTTTGGAGCCTGATCCAGAAGGCTCCCGAAGTCAATGAGATTCTTTGCATTGACTTCAGCACTGTTTGGATCAGGCTATGGCACACAGCAGTTAGCGCTGCGAATGCTGACAAGCACCAGAGGTAATTCATCATCCTGAGGCCCAGGGGAGCTGGGACAGTGCTTAGCAAGGAAGAGGGGTCTGTGGAGCATAGGTGGTCACAGCTTAAATAAGGAATAAAAAGAAAATTGTATTTTGTTTTGGGTCATTTTTGATAAAGTAGAATTTAAAAGGACAGTGCTTTCTGCCGTTACCTCAGCAGAATTCTTTTCAAGACTATAGATCACATAGGTTGCGTTTGAGTGCTTTTAGGAAGGTAAGAAGAGAAAACTAGAAGGGTTAAACCTAGAAAGGAAAAAGATTCAGAGCACTAACCTAAAATCTGTGGAAAACCTGTCAGACCTTCCATTCAAAGCTATACATTAATGATTTGTCCTTAGTTAAAATTTACTTTGGGGAATTCCAGAAGGAAAGATAAATTTTACTTTATTTATTCAGAAGATAAGAACTAAGTACTTTTGTAAAACTCAGAGTATTTTCTTCACCCTGGACCTATATGCATACACATATGTATATACATACATGTTTATATGTATATATGGGCATATAATGCACATTACATTTAAGACCAAAATGAAATTTTATCTGAATTGAGTATGCTCTGTAAACAGATATATTTTAATTAGGAAGTGCAACTATCAATTTATATATATATATATATATATATATATATATATATATATATTTTTTTTTTAAGTATGGACAACAAAACTACTGCAATAAATGTTTTCAAAGTATCCTTATTCCCCCAAACAAGCTCCACCTGAAGAGTGTACTTATACTCTTTTTTTTTGTAGTCATAAGTACCTTGCAGAGCATGAGGATCAGAGTGATAATTCAGGTAAGATGAAACTCTTGAATATGAAGATTTTTAAGTCCACTTTAAAAGACCCTTAAGGTAGTTAAAATGTCTTTAATTAGAATTCTTATAGTTTTGTACTTGGTGAGGATATTCTCATATTTTTAATGGAAATTTAGATTATCTACCATTTTTCCCCTGTCTTATTCAGAAATGCTTATGCAAAATGTATCTCATGAACTGGCTTAGTGCCCTGAGAATCCCCATTTATGCTTGTTAAAATGAGATTTGTGAGTGTTTAGGTTCAATGTTTTGTCATTTCCATGTTTACAACTTTGACCTATTTTCTTTCTTCCCAAAACTTCTCTCCTCTTCACAGGGAATATTTGTTCATGAATCACTTTTGTGCTGATTTCTGTTTATTCTCTTATGACTGTGTCTGTCCACCTTAGCCTAAAACCAGGAAGTCTCAACTTGCCAGTAATGAGGATCCTAGCATAAAAATTTAAATGCTTAAAGAACATGAGGGTTTTTTTAGCTATTTCATTGAAGGGTGAACTGCTGTTGAGATAGTTCACATCCTCATTAAAGTAAACCAACAGGGAATCAGATTCCCAAATGATGTAAAGGAGAGCTGAAGCTTGCCTTCCACTGGTACCAATATGGGCCTGTTCTCCTGATTGTTCTTTCCATTCCTCTCCTCTGTGAAGTTTGGCTGATGGCTTTAGCTCATACTGACTATTCAGCACAGGCCATTCTCAAAGGGAGAAGGAAAAACCACCTCTGACATCTCTGATGAGTTGTAGAGTTCATAAAGAAAGAAATTAAAGTGAGTAATTTGACAGTAACTTAGAAAGCCTTCCAACCTATAAGTGTTAAAACAAAAAATTACCTGGCACTTGGCACTCTTGCTGGGCTGCTGAGTGCAGTTGGTGTCCTCAAATGGCACATGCTTGTTATTGATGATCTTTTTCCCATTACTACATTTCCATGTCTGAAATGATAGATTAAACCTAGCATGCTTGACAACATTATTATTAAGTGTAACATTACTGCTATAATTAGCATTGAAACAAATTGTGATGTGCCCACATTGGTGCAATTACCCCAGCATAACTTGTTGGCTGACTATACTCAACAGTGAGACTTTCTCTGGGAAAGCCATTTTTTGTAATAACTAGGAGTAACATTATCTTTTAAAATGAGTTTATGAGCATCTTAACAGTTATTCAGAATGGCTGCTACTACCTGATGAGAAGCAGTGGTTCATAACTACAAAAGACCAACAAATTTTAAAATAACTTGCTACCCCTTCACATGTTTTCTCCAGAATAATGTGTAACTTTTAGGTTACACAATTTCTTTATTCAATGTGGCAGTTAGACTGCTCCCATTTTGTTCAGACATTGCTGTTTGCCAGTCAAAGCCATCTTCCTGTAGAAAAGCTTTCAGCTCCAAAGATTCCAACCTGAGCATGAGTTTAGAGAAAAAGTCAATCCCTGTGAGAAAAAGAGGCCTTTGTTTTCCAGTGCCTCTCCTTTCCTTTGGGACCCACAGATAAAGTTTTGCTAAGAGGCTGGCGGACATTTATCCACTGTTGTGTCCTTGAGACAGTCCTGCATGAGCCAGCTTGGGAATTGAAGTGCAACTGCACTTGGGAATTGAAGGGCAACTGCAACAGTTCAGCTCTGATATTGTGCTTGATGTGAGCAGGGCTTCTTATCTTGGGAGCAGCACCACAGTGATTAGTACTGTTAATTGTGAGACTGAACTATGTTTGTGTGGCTCTCTGCTGGACTGGAAGCCCACAGCAAGGCAGGGAGACCACTGAGAGTGATAAACTCATGTGACTTTGCTGCTTAATTCACCTGTATACCCTTCCAGGCAGTGCTGTTTCCAGTGTTCCCTAGGAAGGCTCCTGGCAGGTGTAGTAGGATATCTGCTGCTGTGGAATGCAATAACCTCTCTGAGCTGGAGCATTAAAGGCTTTAATTTCTTCCATCCCTGTAACAACAGAAATCTCTTCAAATTTCTCCTCCTGTGACTCTGCACCCCAGTTTTACCTCTTTGATCTCTCTCCGCATACTTACTGCCGCCTAAAGAGTCTGTCTCCTCATCTTTGGGAAGGAGAAAATCACCTTTGTTCTCCGGGTGGGACAACTTGAGTCAGCTCTGTATTCTGATTTGCTTAGGTCTAAGTCAAAGACCTTCAGCATTACAGGTTTTGTTCTGTGTGATGAGAATTCTGTCATTTTTTTGTGGGAAAAACAGAATAAGTATTCAGTGTATTTAGTTATGTAATTGCATAAAGGTCAGCATAGAGAGAAACAAACAGCGCTTCCTCATATGGCCAAGATACCTCTTTTTCCCTCTCTACAGATGTAGTTCTGACTGAAGCCCAGCATTTCCTTACTAGAAGAGTAAAAGTCAAGGGAAGAATAGTTTAATAGTTTAATTTTTATTCAGGGAACCAGATTTGATCAGTGGTCAGCCATAGAAGTGTTCCATCTTCCTTTCCTGCTGCAATTTGCAATGAGTTACAGCAGTAAGCACAATTGTAATTCTTCAATTCTTCATGTTTTGGTTTTGTTATGTTTTTGTTGTGTTTTTTTTAACTAATTTTTCTTAATTTTCGCATTTTATTTTCATTTCATGGAATTTTATAGTTGTACAGAAAGAAGGGAATGGTGCCTTTTCACTCTTTCATTGGGTAACTGCAATCAATATCTTCAAACTGTCTTAATTTCCAGGCTCAGTTTTTTGAGTGAAAGCTTTCAAAACTAGGACTCATAAAAGTCAGTGTAGCTGAGACCTTTTAAAACTCTTTAAAATTCTTAGAATTATTAAAGATCTCTTTAATTTGCAATACTAAAATGCTGTTTAAAAGTGCAACTTTTGACACTTTAATTAGTCTGAAGCTTACACTGTTTGCAGCCATAAACTGAGGCTACACTGAACTTTCCAAACATGGGATCTGAGCATGGGCACAATAAATTTTGCCATTATATTATGAAATTTTTATTTGAAAAAGATTGAAGGCTACACTGTTTTCTTGGATGAGAAATTACATCTGAAAACTTGTCATTGTCCAACTCCTGTTATTTTTAGTGGAGCTGCAAAAGCATTGTTGAAAAATGCCCTGTCTAGAGAAATCAAGGATTTGTTCTTCTGCCTTAGGGGCTTTTCTTTCTGTCCTTCTTTGGACAAGAACACAGCTTGTTAAACTTTGATGTTAATGAAAATGAGCTTCTGGAGGCATGCTCTGATGCTGCAGAAAGTAATGGCTAATTTCAGCTTCAAACCAAAGGGCACTGACTGTAAATGCAAAGCATCCTCCCTTTGATATCAACAAAACTTCATCCAGTATATTTACCTTATCCAGGAAAATTGAGCCAAGAGGCAGAACTACATTACATGCTTTATTCCAGGGGGTGATGGTTCTGTGCATCTCTCTACCTCCAGAGTCTCTCCTGTATCTAAGTTTTCCAAAAAATAGAGCAAGGTCCAGCAGTCTGAGTCACAAAACTGTGGAGGGTGTGTGGGATCTGCCTTCTGAACCAGAAATGGATGGGAGGGGAAGGATGGAATGGTTCCTGTCTCCCTACAAGGCAACTGGAGATGGCATTATTTCTCAGAGCTCTAAGGTAGTGCAGGTTGTTTTCATACACCGTTCTTGAATATCCAGAGAACTGCCAGAAGCAGAAGGCGTTATGAAATTTGGAATATGCCAACAAATACAGAACATGAGTCCTCCACTTCCAGCCACAGTTCATTCCCAACACAGTGGAGATGGAAAAGTGGGTGGAAGGAAGGACGGAAGGGAAGAAGGAGGGAAGGATCACTGGACTATTAATGCTTCCACAGTTCTTATGGCCTCTATTCCCTATCAGTGCTAAGCTGTACTGGATGTGTGTCCTGAGCTGAGTGCTGCTAAACAGGGAAATTGTACATTTTATAATTTGGCATTTTGTGAGGCCAAAGCTGCATTGGGAGACAACACAGCATCACAACACTGATCAGAATATTTAGACTAGAATTTATCTTTATATAGATTTTAAGCCTGTGGAAGTTAAATGAATGTGGTCTTTGGATAAACTGACTCATGATGAAGTTTTCTGATCAAAAATCTTGTTAATTTAGTGTCAGTTACCCTGTCTCATTTCATTTTCCATGTAATCCTTTTATTTTCTGGGAATTTTTACAAACTAACCAACCTAGGCTTGATTTTCTCTCTCTTTTTAACAGAAGGCAATTAATTAATTAATTAATTAATTCTACTCCTATTTTTTTTTTTAAATGAAAAAAAGTATTGTGAATAGACTGCCCTTATCTTCTCTTGAAAAATATCACCAATATGACGGGCATTGTCTCTAGATATCAGTATTAAGTAATAACAACAGGTTATTTTCTCAGTCCTGGCAATGTGCAAAGGACAATTGGTTTTAAGAATGTTACTGGACATACTCCATCACAAAATTAGGCACAGCACAGATTCTTGTGAAGATTCAGATGTAATTCTTCAAAGATGTATCTTGCACAAGAGCTTTTAGCAACTATTGTTTGAGGTGTGATAGGAAACCTCTGCAAACTGATGGTGGTCTCTAGTTAGGAGAAATCACTCTTCCTGCAGTTAATAGTCCTTCAGTTGAACATTTGCTGCCTTTATTCTATTTCCCTTCCAAAAAAATGGGAAAAAACCAGCAGTTCCCTTAGCTTCCCTTGGATGTGGTTTTCATCCTTTCTCCCAGACTGTTTTTTGACTAAAAGCCAAAAGCTACACAGGGAGTCAATGATTCAGTGCTCATCTGAACCCAGGATTCTCCTGCCTTTCAGTACCACTCCAACCACTAGACCACAACAGCATCTCATGCTGCCTCAGAAGAGAGTCATCCTTGTGGGAAAGGGAGGAAAATTCCCAGCAGAACTCCCTTGGACTTATGGCCTTTGATAAAAATGAGGAAACAGCACTTCTGATTTTCAAGAGATTACCATTATCATTATGTTTCCCTTAAAGAAGACATATCAAGCTTTCACAAATTAAACCCAAACAACCTCTGTGTAGTTTTTTTTTTTAAAGTTCCTTATTTGTTTTGCTAATAACTCCTCGATATATTGAGACAGATCCCTCATTAACAGAATGTTTATTTTTTGTTACTAGCCCTATGCATTCATAAATATAGTTCAGTATAAAAATAAAATTATAGAATGATAGTGGTCATATCACTCTATTCATTATAGAGAATGGGCCAAAATCTCCATAAAATTGTGTTACAGCACATGGACTGTTAGCAGATGGTGGTTACTGAAGTTTGAGTCAGTTGACCCTCAGCTTTTGCCTCACAGTGAGTACATGAATGCGAGTTATGCCTAACTTCTGGTAAATCTCAGCCATAAACTGCTGATATATTTGGGAAAGGGAGCATGTTTATCACACTCTTTTCAAAGAAACTCCTCTTCATTGATGTGTTTTGATATGGGTTGTGCTTTTCAGATCCAAAAAGAACTTGGTTAAAAAGCTAACAGGAGGCTTCTTTGAATTCTGTATTTTTGTGAAGATCTGCATGTTTGTCTGTCTCTAAGGGGCTATTTGCATAGTTTATGCTTACCTTTTTATTATCACCTTGTTTAAACATCTTACAGAACTAATATGAACTATTTGAGGAATGAAGGAAACCTTTTTCTCCCCATTCAACTGACTTTTTTTTTTTAATTTTAAACTGCATTCATGCATTTTCTGCATCCCTATCTTGTTCTGATTCTGTAAAACCTATTAGTGCCAATGTTCTTGCAGACAAATGCTGTGCTGAATTAAACATATTCCTTCTATTTTAGCATGTAAAAATTGAGAAAATAAAAAGGTGTGGATAAATGAGTTTTCACAACTTATTCTACAGCACTATGTTGCTTTGTGTAAGTCTCAGGTAAAGAAATGAGCAACGAAAGACTTCGTTTGCAGTCCTGTTTCATCTTCTTGTAAAGAAGACTGAAAAAATAAATGATGCACAGGTTGGTTTAAACCAGAACCTGCCCATAACTCTGAGTTGCTCTAAGGCCCGCGCTCTGCAAGCACCAACACAGGAGCTTATCTTGGTGTATAAAGATAATCTCACAAGAAATCATGGAAGTCAGAGACTGCTGGGATGAGTCTAAGCACATGTTTAAGGGTTTTCAGGACCAAATATATATGGTGATTTACTGTCTAGGCAATCTCCAGTACCACCTACTCTGGTTAAGAGTTCATAATTTATCTGTAATGCCTTGTGTGTGTGGCTGTAGTTCTATGTGACAGTGAAGAAATACAAAATATCAGTGAGTGTAAACCTACCAGATCACAAATACCAAAGGTTCAGAGCTTGCACTGGGAACGCAGTGCAACAAATTGTTGGAGATATTGCACAGACAGTGTTGGCTCACCAGAGAAACAGCAACACACCGGTCGACTTATGTCCATTTGGGTTTTGTTATGATAAATGGAACCACTAATTTTTCTAATCTTCTACTTTCATTCTTTATATTCTCACAGAGCTTTTGCAGCATAGTGTTTGTGCCTACAATGAGCACTAGAAGTTATAGCATAATGAATTTAAAAATAGCACTTAAATAATTAATGCAGCTAAATATAAACAATATTAGCTAAATGTAAATAAGACTAATGTCATATGAACACAGTCTTCTAATGTGCTTATATTTTTTGGCTTGTATTTGACATAGCCCAAAATAATTTTCAAAATACAACTGTGTTATTCTCTATGGGATCTTCAAGTGTGCTCCTTCTCTGTCTCTTTATTATATTTATTTTGTCTTTAGCCAAAGGGAATACTAGCAGTCTTTGTAGTCAACATTTTTCTCATTTCTGTAGTAGCCAGACCTTCTGGAAGAGATGAGACTCGCATTTTGTGGTAATGACAATGCCTCAGCCTACAACATCAGTGCTGGTGTCCTCAGGAATGTCTGCTTTGTGGATGCCCTCAACTTGGTCCCTCATGTCTTCCTGCTGTTTATCACCTTCCCAATTTTATTCATTGGTGAGTTATTCTATGGAGCTCTGCCCACAAACACTCCAGTGTGTTTTTTACTCAGTCAAGTTTGCATGGGCTTGGTGAAACATTGGATGCTTTGTATTTATGAACTGTGAAAAAGAAGAGGCGGAATGGCTTCACCTAGAAGATGTGAGGCTAACCTGCTGAAATGTGGGAATTTTAGATATAAATCTGAACTAATCATCATGAAGATATGGATGAGAACCAGAGAGATCAGATACAAATACTATTAAACTTTTCTCTGCAGAAGTTTTCTTTAGATTTGAAACTAGCAATTTGCAACCTTTGTTAGTGTTAGAAGACTTAGGGCAGCAGGTCTGAATTTCCTTGAAGTTACATGAATTACAAAGAATATCCAAAATGTTCACCTTGGATCTAAGGCTAGGACAGGTGGGGGAAATATTTAAAATAGAAAAATTGCTTCTTTTGCCAACATTTTTAAATAAAAGCAGAGCAATAGAGATTTTTTTTCCCCAACAGAAATAAAAAATAAGAAGCAATAAGTCCCTCTTGAGGAATTTAGGACAGTCGAGGGGCTCTAACTCACAGTCTTGTAAAAAACCCCATCTAAGCTAGTATTCTAATGATATTTTTTTCTACAGTTTTCTTTTTATCCCAGTTCCTTTGCAGTGGTGAAATAAATACAATTTCACACTTTTCCAGAGAGGTCAAACAGTAGCATTCTAACCGATCATAGGAGATTAAGACACTTGAATAACCATCAAAAGTATTAGTGAAAATAAATATTGTCCTGACAACTGCATGAGAAATGCCATTTCAGTTCTTCCATATTAACTTCCTGGTGTTGCATGTGTAGATGGAAATGCATTTCCTCCACAAGGAAGGTTTGAATTTGGGACTGTATTTGAACATGAGATTTAAGGGCTTTCATGCAAAAAAACTCCAAAGTGGTTGAATAAAATGCTACAGGAACCTGTGGGCTGACACTCTGTACATAACTGTGACATGATCCAGTGACTGAAAACTAATTAAATAATTAAGCATGAGAATAAGAAACAAATTCTAACAAATTATAAAGACTAGAAAGTAACCCCAGGGTTATGGAAACTCTCTGCAACAATGCTGGATTTGTACCTCAGTGCTGGCTCTTCCTTCGAGGTGAGATGCAAGTCATTCTTGAAGGACAGGGTTTTGTGCAGAAGTGTTTGATGGAAGTACACTGCAAGGTCTGAGGGTAGAGATAATATTTTAGAACACTCTAACATCAAGTGCTGCTTCAATTTTTTTGAGGTATTAGCCAATTAATTTTGAAATAGTATTGTAGCCACTGAAAATTCCCTCTATTTAGTAACTATGTTAGGAAAAAATATAATATTCTAAATTGTACGTTATTTATTTATGTCATTCTGAGTTTTATATTTTGTATGCTAATTATCAGGACAAATCATTGTTGAACAGAACATTAAAAGCCAGCTGGAGTCCACAGTACTGACTGGCTCCAAACCAGAAATTTGGTGATGAGATGTGTTTGTGCAGATGTGTGGGCAAAGAGAAAATGAAAAGCAGCTTGGGAGAGACAAAGACAGGAGCAAGGTCAAAGAAAACCACATAAGATTAGAAAAGTCTTAGAGAACTATAGAAAATGCTTTAGATAGCTATGGAGAAGACAGAATAATTTGTTCTTGCAGTATTTTGTGTCTTAAAGAAGGATGAAATGGTGAAATCCTGACAATTTCCAAGAATGAATAAACTTCAGTTTTGGTTTATGTGATCCTGAGTTACCTAATGAGCCTCTAAGCATGATGAGATGTTGCATCCTTGTGTAGCAAAAGCCTGGGTTTTAAATTGAGTTAGTTTTGTTTCCTTTTGTTTGGTTTCTTTACTTCCCCAAAATGTGTTGTTGTTTGGATTCTCTATGGGCTTAGGGAAGCCTGTCAGGGTATTCCAGGAGCTGCCTTACAGTAAGAGGGACTTTTGGGCTTACTGACTCAGGAAAGCCCTGTACCTGTGTGGGAAGAGACAGAGGCCAAGGTTTGCCACCATGAGAAGCCAACCTGTGGTCAGACCTCAGTTTCCCCAGCCCTGTCACCTCCCTCATATCCTCTGTGACCCACTTCTTGCTGGGTTGCTGGCCTCAGAGAGGATCTTGCCTGGAAAGGGCAGGTGACGTCTGAGGTGATGACATGGAAATAGGCTTCAAGTTTAATTTGTTGATTAATTTGAGTTGTGGCACTGTTTGGGAGCTATGAGGGGCCAGGAATGCAGAGGCCTCGGAGGCCGGGCTGCACCTGAGGGAGAGAAGCTGTAAAATCACTGTTCAGCCTCCACTCAGACTGTATTCCCAACCAGGCCTGAAACAGGCCTGAAATATTACTTGTTTCAAGTAAATGCATATCTTTGAGGCTTCATTTGAGGATGCAACTTTTATATCAGTAGGAAATTTTTCCTGCTTTGTCTGTAACTGTGAGAGATGTGAGGATGCCATCATGTCAGTTCTTTCAGTCCCTGTTGTCTGAGGGTGCTGCTTGGAGTGGTTTATTTTTTGTTGTTTTCTTATCATTTTTCTTGCCCAGGAATGACTTTTCTTTGATTGTAATTTGGAAAAAGTCTCATTGTCTTCAGGGTTTGATTTAAATTACAGGGCAATTGAGACTCTCCTGGGTCATCTTTTTAGTAACAACAGCCCCTGTAATTTTGTAGGGGGTTTGTATCGATTGCATATACATGTGGCCCAGAAAATTGATAACCAGATCAGTCACTGACTGGCTGTGAGATAACTTTTGTCTTTCCTTGCTATCATTTCCCAGGCTGGGGAAGCCAGAGCTCCAAAGTGCAGATTCACCACAATACCTGGCTTCACTTCCCTGGGCACAACCTGCGGTGGATCCTGACGTTCACCCTGCTGTTTGTGCATGTGTGTGAGATAGCAGAGGGGATTGTTTCTGATACGTAAGTGGCAGAGTTTGGTGGATCACCATGCTAATTGCATTTGTTAATGAACAGTGTTAATGTCTGATGGGCTGGCTAGTAAAGCATCAGGAGGTTTTTCCCCAAAAAAGTTCATGGAATCCTTTAATGAACTGTCCAGGTTCTAATGGGATCAAGGTGAAGCCGTTGTTCTTAGCATTTTATTCTTCTCTCAAGCTCTAATAGCAAGCAAATATTGATCGAAGTTAAGCACTCACGAGGACACACACATTTTGTCTCTAAGAAATTCATGTTTGTCCTCTTCCATAGATTAGCAGAACACCTATGGTTTCACACAATGATGAAAAAAAGGCACCAAATTCACTAATTTATACCGTATTTATTTTCAGACAAATGAAATCTCTCCACCTGCATCTCTTTCTACCAGCTATAATGGGATTTGTGGCTGCCACTGTATCCATAGTCTATTACCATAATATTGAAACATCCAACTTTCCAAAGTTACTGTTGGGTAAGTCTAAGTCTGATACTTATATACTCTTAAAAATCCCAGTATTTTAGCCAAAGTCAGCTTGTTTAGATTGAAGAGGATGGTGGAATGTGTGAGAATATTAAAGCAGAGAGGAGTAACTCTCTGCTCTTGCAACTGGTAGTATCATAAGAGTTACTGCACCTTTCATAAGGTACACACTGAAAGCTACTTCTAAAATAATTACAAAAGAGAATGCTTGTTGCATTTTTATTGCGAGCTTTTAGGTTTTTTTTAACACTGCTGATAATTTCGAGGAAAAACTTGTCTGCATTCAAAAGGGCTATTTCAAAAGGCCACTTTGAGTAGTGATTACAAACTCTCCTGTGCAGATGCTGCTTTTTCTCAATATCTTTTGCAGTTGATTCTGACGTTATCCCATCTGCTCTCTCAGTCAGGAGATGGTCAGACCAGACATTGCAGATTAATGTTCCATACAAGTATATTGTCCAAATTGCATGTAGCTCAGCCACCTGAACAAGCCCCTGACAGATACCAGCCAGGATGCACGATAACACTAAATTCCATACACTCTTTTACAAAAGAGCACATTTCCATATTCTCACTTGGGATACACCCTGCTTTTTCTAAGAGGCAACATGACTTTTGTTATGTGTCTTTTCCTTCATTTTAAGAACAAAGTTTCCCTTCAGATTAAGGCTCCTTTAGTGGACTTTGTACCTGCATGAAGATTTGCCATTGTGTATCTGTTTGAAGGGTTGTGGCCCAGGAAAGAAAACAGTGGCTGGTGACATAGAGGATCACTGTGCCTGCACTGTATCAAGCCATGGAAACTAATAAGCTGTAATTACACTTATTTATTAATTTATTTTGAAATTATGCATGTGCACCTGTTTTACAGCCTTGTTCCTTTACTGGATAATGGCCTTTGTCACAAAAACCATCAAGCTTGTCAGATACTGCCAGGATGGGGTGCCTTTTTCTCAGCTGCGTTTCTGCATCACTGGAATCATGGTCATCCTCTATGGGCTGCTGATGGCTGTGGAGATCAATGTCATCCGAGTCAGGGTATGTGGCTTCTTCCTCAGGATCTGGAAGAGTATCAGTGGTATCATGGGGGTAAAGATGTCTCCTTAGTTCCAGAAACTCTGGCTTGTGTCGAGGTTAGGCCCAAGTTTAGCTTAGCCATAAAGATTTGGTTAATTTTGTGGAAATCAGTGGTGATTTAAATATCTTTAAAATGTATGTCCTTGATGTATCCCTAGGCTTGGTGTGTATGTGTGTGCCTGTGTGCATCTATCCACACAAAGTGCATACATATTTGTGTAGATAGATGTATATTTGTGCACATGAAGAGGGTATAGGTGGATGCAATCTGTAAAATATGTGCTGTGTTAGTGCTGATGAACTATTTATGTAGTGAATCTGTAAGTTAACTTATGTTCTTAGCAATGATAACTTAAAATTATCTCCCAAGAATTCATTTTTACTGTTGTTCAGCTTGAGATAGGTGGTACTGATAGGGTTCAGAACAGTATTCACATCCCATGTTGCTCAATTGTTTGCCAGTTATCTGTCAAAATGGAAATAATCCTATTTGCATGCAAATTTATATTTAAATTCAACATATAATTACCTTTAAAAGAAAATTTGAGTCTGTGGTTGTCTTGCATATAGTTTTTACTAAAAAATTACTATCAATAAGACAATTTCTGAGCTCATGTTTGTCTGTTTTCTCCTCTGCAGAGGTATGTGTTTTTCATGAACCCTCAGAAAGTGAAGCCTCCAGAGGATCTGCAGGATCTGGGAGTGAGGTTCCTGCAGCCATTTGTCAATTTGCTCTCAAAGGCAACTTATTGGTGGATGAACGCACTCATTATTTCTGCACACAAGAAACCTGTGGACCTGAAGGCAATTGGGAAGCTCCCAATTGCAATGAGAGCACTGACAAATTATGTCTGCCTCAAAGAAGCCTATGAAGAACAAAAGGTAGTAACAGGTGTCCATGTCACTGTTCGGTCTTAGAAAATCAAAGTGTCACTTGAATTTCTTCAGCTTTCAAGAAATCCTTGTTTTAGGAATTTTTTATTTAGGACTGTTTGTTCCAAGGTGAAACATTGGCATAGGAAGTTCCAATCCAATAGTTACTGTTTGGTTTTCAGTGACTTTATAGCAGGAGGAAGTTTCCAAACTGAGTGCAACTGGAAACTAAAACCACAATAGACTGAACACTTGCTAGATTTTAATAGTGAAAGACTTGTTTAAATCTTAGCTATTTATGAAACTGGAAGGCATTCTGTCCATAGTTTCAGCTGGAAACACTTATCTTCACCTTTCTTTTTTTTTTTTTTCTCCAGACAGAGAAATAGCCAAAACCACACATCAAGAATAGCCAAAACACTGGTGTCTTAGCAGTGATTTAGTCACCAATCCCAAACACAGAACCATAGAGGCTGCTATGAATAAAATTAACTCCATCCCAGCCAGACCCAGTACAAAAAAGCATGGTTGGGAAAACTCACTAGGTAGGGCAGGATTTTCCAGGGAAACTTCTGGATGCATTTAGGCAGCTCTTTGTTCCCAGCAGCTAATGGAGATGCAGGCTCCTTTCTCCTTCTGAGATGAAACAGTTATCAGCACAATATTTTATATCTTAATAGGTATAGGTTGCTTGTTTTTCCTTCTGCATTTGAGGGTTACAGAGACCAGAGATAAAGATCCTTCTGCTTTAGGCAGAAAGCTACTGAGTTTTTGGAACTGAGCTTTTCATAGCAGCCTGGGAGAGATGCATCCCTTAGACCAGGCCCTTAAGGTGCCTAAACCCTACTTAAAGAGGCCAGAGAGGGATGCGCACCTACGTGGCCCAAGGACCTGACTCTGTGCCATTCTTGATGACAGGCACGATAGCTGGGTGCCAGCATTTGTCTGTAGCTCATTCACATCTGCAGGTACTGTCTGTGCCTGCACAAAAATGTGGTTCAGTTGCCAAAAGGCAAGTCAAATGTGCATTTCTTGTGTGCATGAGCACAAACTTTCAGTGTGTAGCCTCCCTCAGTGTGCATCATACACATATAAACACTTGCATAAAAGTTATGTATGCATTTACACTCATCTACATTTCTGATGCTCCGTTACATCAGACATTTTGTGTTCTGTAGTTGTCTAAAGTCTTGAGATTACCACAGACTAGTGCATTTGTGCTACTATTCAAAAACAGGCTACAACCCTGAAGTAAACTGGTATTTTGTAGATAAAGTTAAAGTAAACCAAATGGCTAAAGCAAATCCAAGGAGCCAGGCAGTGGGACTCACTGCAGTTCATTCCTGTGGAGAAAAGCATTGGCTTGTGCCTGATTGGGCCAGAAAACAGCCACAGAATTAGGAAAATTATTCAGACTGATGTGTGGTCTGCAATCTGGAAGAGGTGATATGTCACTGTCTCTACTGCCAAGTGTGTATTTTACACTAATCTCCTGCAACTGGTGAGGGGAGCCCCACAGCCTCCTCTGAATTAAGTGGGGTTACTTCTGCCTGTGCCTGGAGATAGCTGATCTCAGCTTGTGCTCCATGGCCCTGCAGAGGGAAAACTCCTGTTCCTTCCCAAACCTTTCTCACACCTTGAAGAAAGATGCTGAACATGACCCTGAATACTCAGTATTGTGAAATGCCTTTGAGATAGATCACATGACTTTGTCTTGCTATCTCTTCTGCATGTTATGAAAATAGAAAAAATTATATCAATTCTCACACCACAACATTCTATGCAAGCCCATAACACTCAAGGACCAAACTGGAAAACACATTATTATTAGAAAAAGGTCTTTCTCCCCTCTTCCTGTTACATGCTTCAGCTAATATGAAGTCCTGATTAGAAAAAAGAAGAAAAATAAGTGTTTAGCAATAAATCAGATAATTTAATTAGTATTTTTTTCCAGTAAAAAGGAAACAGATTTCATATAGTGATGAGCAATGTGTGAATTGAAGTAACAGTGAAAATGGTTCTTAAATTGTTAGAGAAATAAGGGTTTACTGTTGCCATTTAACAAATTTACTATTAATTGAATGCCCAGAATAATATAAAAAAATGTTTCCCCAAAAGATGGCAGCCATTTACCCAATAAATTAACATAGCTCCTCTCAAGCTGGTAAAGTTATTAACCATTTATTTGAGGAGGATGACTAACCCTTTTAGGGCACTCAGGCTCAAAACCCATTAGGTCACAAATTCAGAGCCTTTTGTCTGGACAACTTACAGAAGGCCCTTCTGCTCTTTCTGTCCTCAGAGGAAGCAGTTTCATTCTTACCCCTTTCTGAAATGGTAGATCTAATTTGACCCCATGGTGCTTATTTCTCCTTCCTAAGCTCCTTGGCATTGGCCTGGCCCAGTCTCTGGCACCCACCTGACTCACCTGCACATTTTTGGCACCTTGTATATAATCCATCTCACTCTGGAAATGGCATAAAAGGGAAAAACTGAGAAAAGAGGGGAAAAAATGAGGCATGAGGCAGCCAGACAGGTTACAGCCATGTTAGCTTTTTCTTTGGTGAACTTGCTGGGGCAAGGAATAGTTGTTGCTTGGCTGTGCTTAAAATGTCTCTGTGAATGCTCAAGAGGGCTTGGCTTGGCTTGCAGTTTACAGGCATCTGTGCTACTTGAGAAATGACAGATGTTTGTTTAAAGTGTCAAAAGCTGCTGCCTGAAGTGCAAGGAAGCACTCTGCAGAGCATGGCTCCGGTCAGTAAAACTCTTCCTTTGTTAAACTGAAAGGACCTCAGAGATACCAGAATTCCTCTGATTACACAAAACCATATCTGGTGGTTGGTGTTTTAGCCAAGAGCTGTGATACTGTGTAAATTCACAGATCTGAAGGCTAGAAAGGACCCTTGGTTGATTTACTCTTACCTCCCATCCTGATCTGCTGCTTTTATCTTTTTGAGCACACTTATCATTGATTGGTTGAAGTGTGTAATCCTGGAAGGCATCCAAGAAATGGAAAAAATCCCAGATAAATTAAATTAAACTATATTCTTGTAATTGTAATGTATTTTCCCTGCAATCAGAAGCCTTTGCATCTTGCGAAACCAGGATTACCCACATGAGCAAAGGGCTGAAAGGTCAGATCTTTCCCTGAGCACACATGTGACAAGGGACAATGGCTGCCTGCCAGGATGATAATCTGTGCTTGCATTCCTGTGTTCACAGATTGAGGAAAGTGGTGGGATACAGAAGTGAAAAACCAGTTACCAAGGGGAGGCAGAATTAGAATTTGCTGTGAAGAATGTCTGAAATATGTTGATAATTACAACATGTTTGCTGCCTCACCTGGTCCAAACCATCTTTCAGGAGTCTTTTGGGCATCCAGGAGTGTTGCCATATAAAGCTTGGGAGACTTCTCTTAATGCACTGTGTACCTGTTTCTGTTTTTCAGAAAAAGGTAGAGGATCATCCCAACCGGAGTCCCTCCATTTGGTTGGCCATGTACAGTGCTTTTGGACGGCCAATCCTGCTCAGCAGCACATTCCGCTACCTGGCCGACCTGCTGGGCTTTGCTGGGCCACTCTGCATTTCTGGCATTGTTCAGGGCTTCCAGAACACAACCAATAATACAAATACCACAGAAAAGGTAACTTGACAATGTGGATTGGAAGGCTCTGGTAGTAGTTTTAGAGTCATATCAGATATTTAAGATACCTGGCTGCGTGCTTTGATAGGTCTGTGGTCATCACTGTTATTTCATGGTTTCACCCAAATGGAGTATTTCTGTTGTGAGAGACAGTCAGGTTATAAATCTGAGCAGTGGGAGCCTTGGTAGGAATGGAACGCAGATCATGGAGGCTTCCCCCAGCTCCCCAGCTGTCTCTCTAGATGGAGTCATCCCAGCAGTTCTGGGAAGAAAGAATGACTTTTTCTGCTCCTCTTCAAATGTGCCTGTTAGTTTCAGGCAGGACACACACTGGTGGTGCCTCAGTGATGCATCCAGCCTGGGGATTTTTCTTGACTCCTGTCGATTTGTCAGTTTATACTTCATTGACAGTTTTGAGTCCTCTCAAATCTGTTTTTTTACTGGGAAGATGACAGTAGCCAGCCTCTGTTTGTGGCTGATTGTATTGCTTGCTGTTGTGATGAACTGTGTTGGCACATACCGCAAAACTGAAAAGTATGCACTTTACTCAATGGTGTTCTTGATACTAGAGATGCACAAGAGATGCCAGATCAGTGCTCATTTCAAGTTTCACTGGGACTGAACTTTCAGGGATCATCTCTAAATGCTGAGCAAGCCTCTGATACAAAACATTTTCTATCACAAGAAAAAGAATTTATGAAAAGATACAGGTAAAATTATTTTACTGACAGCAGAGAAGAAATGACAAAGACATTTTCCTGCATTTGTCTTCTGACAGAGAAATATCTCCATACAGTTTTTGAAGTGTTTTATCTCTGAATGAGTGGATGGATATATAATGAATTAGTGTTTCCCTGTCCAGATATTGACTGTCATCACTATCCAAATATCTTTTTCTTGGCTGCTCACTCCTGACATTCATTTTCTTGATTGATGGTCGCAATTTGGCTTGAGGCTTTCAATGCACTGAAGGAGAGTTTAATTGTACAGCTTGTCAAACAAAGATTTTTATCATCTTTGAACCTGCACATTCTGGATTTGAGCAACGAGTTACAAGGCAAAGTGCATATTTTGCCTTCAAAAATGTTGGAGTTTTTTGCATGGTGAACAAACAAAGTATTTGAGCTTGAAAATAATTTCTGGATCTCAGATTTAGGAATCTGTACCTTGTCTGCTTCCTTTATCTTTTGTGCTCTTCAGTGTAGTGGTGTCAGTTGTGGCTTTTTAAAGTTTAAATGAGCATTGGCTAAAGGGAACATTGAATCACTGGAGTTCTTGAAAGCACTTGGCTTTGTGACAGTCACTGTTTCTCTTGGATACATTTCAGAATGCATTTGCCTCTAATTTATGGATTTTGATAAACTTTCTCTTGGTTGTTCTTGCTATTAAACATTTTTCCTTTAAATTCTCTCTAGTTTCAATTAATGTGAATACATTTAATTTTATGCTTATTCTGCCTTAATTCCTGATAACTCTATATACATTGAAAAAAAATGTTATTTTCTTAATGATATCCCCACTATGAAAACAAGGGGAAGTTAGATGCAGCAGAACACTAAGAGAAAAGTTTTCAAATATATTTATCTCACTATTCATGCACTTAACCATTTTTTCAAAGACTCTTGAGCAGATGGCTTTCTTTCTTATATTTCTTATATGCCCATACCTGTCATCTCAGAATCAGGCTGGATATTTCAGTAGAACAAGGGTTTTCCCTTTTTCTTCTTCTTCTTTTTTTTTTTTTCCCTGTAAGATTTCCAGGACATCCTGCTTCCAACTGGGTCAGAAATACCAAAGGAACAGTCTTCCTTGGAGTATTTTGGTACATTTGTTTCCTTTTCTGCCTGAAACAGAGCAGAACAGTGAACATAAAAGCTAGAAAATTAAAACAAAGAGCTTTAAAAGATATTTTTTTCTCTTTGATGTTGAGGCATTTAAACCTAATTTTGTGCAGAATACTGGCATATATAATCTTATATTATTCAGAATTTATGGCTATCATTGACTATATTTGTGGAAGGAATTGTTTCCATGATATGCAAATGCCACATAATAACTAATCCCATATATTAAAAAACATTTTCTTGCAGCTTGTCCATGGGGCAGGTGGAATGAGCTTTGTTTTCTACTGATGAGCATTTCTATCCTACAAATCACCAGAATTTGATAGGGAAACTAAAGACAAGGCAGACATGGTGATCTTATTGTTCCTTTCCTGCTAAAACTAAATTATTTTAGAACTGCTAAAACATCTTAATCGTCAGTCTTTTGACCAGGAGTGGAGTTTTAAATTTGTATCCAAATGACTTTTGATATAGAGGTCAGTGAGAAATCTGGTTTCTGTAACTTTCCCATAATACCATCATTATGTTTTATTGTAATGCAATGATTAAACTTGCTTGTTTCCAACTTTTCAGGAATATACAGTCCCTCCTATGTCACTTGCATGATTTTTTCCTTTCTATTCAGGTGAAGGATCCATCAAACTCCTACCTTTCATCAGAGGAATTCCTCAGGAACGTTTATGTCTTGGCAGTCCTTCTCTTCCTGGCCCTTATTCTGCAGAGAACATTCCTGCAGGCCTCTTACTATGTGACTACAGAGACTGGCATCAACCTCCGGGGTGCCTTACTGGTGAGCAAAGATCTGCCAGAAGTATCACTAATAACAGCTCCAGCTTTGTGCTTTCATTTGTCCTGTTATCTGAAGACTGACTTGAAATTATGGTTTCAGAGAAGATATGTGCTGTATTTTTATACAGAAAACTGGACAAAGTAGTGCTGGCAAACTGCTGGCAGCAATTCCTTTTACTAAAAACTTATCCCATCATTCTAATCTGTTGGAAGTTTAACACCCATAAAAACCCACACATATAAAAACATATCTTTGCAGATAATAAGAGATAGATGAAGATCAGCAGTGTCATTTTGGCTCTGCATCTGCTTTGTTCATTTGCTTATGAGTTTGCTTCTGCTGACTGTGGACAGAGTCGTATGCAGAGTGTCCTTGTTTTATGGGAATGCTGTGCATGCATCGGGAGTGGTAACTCTAGATATTTATGCCCTTTAGCACAGAGCCCTGTGGGATGGGAGTGATTCATCTGCAGGACTGTAACCCCAGCATCCCTTAACCCTCTGTGAGAGCCTTATTTATGAACTGGAGCCAGCAGCTCTGGCCTAGCATGTGGAGGAGGTGTAGCAGGGCTCTGCACAAACCAAACTCCATGGGCAGTAGTAGCAATCCAGAAGCAGGAACTGATGTTTTGCCAGATGCAAGTTACCATGGGAATATCACCTCAGCATAGAAGCTTTTTTTTGTACTTGCTCTGATTGATGGAGCGGCTTCAAATATTTTCTGCCCTCTCCCAGGATAGATGGTACAGACTTAAGGATGAAATAGCACCTGATTATTTCCTTTTTGTGACTCCTTTTTTGTGACTCTCACTTATCAAAATTAAGACTCTTAGGAGCATATGCAGCTGATTTAATTCACCAGGCATTTCTGATTAATTCCACAGGATATACTTTTTTCATGAAAATAAATTTCATCAAAAAGGACAAATTCTTTTTTAAAACTTCCTTGGAGCTGCGGTGTTTGATATTCGGTCATAACTGCAAACTGGGCTCACAGTATTTGTCTTTAAAATTTAGATATTAGCCCTGATTAATTTTAAACCCTGTTAAACTCTTACATATTTTATGGAAAGGAATGGCCAGGTAAGCAAGAGAAATCCAAAGGAATACATACCCACTCTGATCAAACTTTACAGCATGAATTTACCTGTTTTCTCATAAACAAGGATCTCTTTGACAGACAGTGTCACAGAAAAGCAGGCTCACCAAATGCTTGTTAAGAAAGGTTCTTTGGCTGACTTCCTAAATTTTGATATTTTGTTGTCATTTTTTGTTCTATTTTAGGTTTGTGTTTAGCAACAAACTTTTTAAGAAGAATTGGAATTTTTTGAAGTCAGTTCTCTCTCTTGTGCTTTCTCTCACTCTGTCTCTAACTCTCTCTGTCTCAGGTGAGAGACTGGCAGAAGGGCTGTCCTAGGCAAAGGCTGATGATGTAGTTTGAAACATTGCACTACTACTGTTCTTTTATAATTACATCATTTTAAGGACTTCCTTTTCTCCCCCTTTCTTGCAGGCAATGATATATAATAAGATCCTGAGGCTTTCTACATCCAACTTGTCCATGGGAGAGATGACACTGGGACAAATCAATAACTTGGTTGCCATAGAAACCAACCAATTGATGTGGTTCTTGTTCCTGTGCCCCAATCTGTGGGCAATGCCTGTCCAGGTAGAGCATCAAAGTAAGGGCCTGATTTCAGAGATCCTCCTGCCTGGTTGAGGAGAGTGCATGTCTGGGATACTGCTACAAAATCCAGAGGGGAACCTGCACTTCCAACTAAGATTAACAAACAGAAAGGTGGCCCAATGGCTGAAAAGGTGTCTCTCCAAGGGCCAGTGAAGAGAGAGGGTTTTTTTAGCAGGATTTCCATGTCCATGACTTGAAGAATGAGGACCTCCTTTTCCTGATCATATTTCTTCCACTGCTGACACAAATCCATTGCTTTTATTTTGCCACCTGGCATCAGCCCTAAGCATTACTTCTGTAGTGTCCACTTGTAACTGGGTTTTGTGGCAGGACCAACAGCAATTGAATCCTGCTCCATGGCTGACTGTAACAGCAGCATGAACACTGACACTGACAATGCTCAGAGGAGCTCTCATCTAAGCAAAGTTAGTCACTGAACACTTCTGCTTCTTAACAAGGCTGGGAAAGAAATGGAGGCAGATCTGTAGGAAGGAAAGGCTGAGATTATTTAGCTTGAAAGAAATCTTCCAAAATGCCAATAACTTAATGACCTGAGACATGCTGATTTTCCATGAAGCTTGGACTCCTGTTATCTCTTCAGAATTTTAGCTCAGAGTGTGTTTGGCACGGTCCTTACCTTTCAGTGATCCCACTGACATTAAAGAATTTTTAAAAGGGGCAGAACCAACTCTTATAGTAGATCTGTTTTGCTGAATTTCCTGACACTGTATCAGTAATCTATTTTATTTGTCAGCAATTACTACTACTGATGGGTTGGGTAGGGTTTAGAGTGTCATTAAATACTTTATGAAAAAAAGGCAAAAAAGGCTATATGGAAGCAGAAATTAGAAATAATATATAGGGTCTCATTTCACTGTTTCACATCCTGTGAAGTGGATGGAAGTGTTGCTATCAATACTTTGAAAGTTATTAAATGAACAAGTGATCTGGTTATTGTGGCTAGGTATGGTAATTTGCAGTACAGGAGCCTGAAAAGCTAAATAGTGCTTTAAAAATGTCAAACTCCATTGATTCTTACTTCTGACGTTGTATAATAAGAAGGGAGATTTAAAGACAGACTTGTTTAAGAGATAAAAGTATGAGATATGCAACTAATTCTGTATGCCCTCTTATCACTGAGGACATCTCTCTACCACAAAGTAGAGCTTTTTATAGAAATATTTATATAGCAGAGCTTGAATTAACTCAGGAACCAGAATCACAGCAGTCACACCACAGCCATTCCCAGGTAAGCTTCTGTGAGAAGTGTTCCCAAACCCTTTGCATGCCTAAGGCAGCATTTTCCTCCAGAGCTGCATGGTATTGATGCCTAAGCTCAGTTTGTGTCAGTCCCAGCACATCTGCTTTGTGCTTCAGTGCCTGTCTGCAATGTCCCTTTGCCTGCAGTTGCACAGGACACTACAATAGAATGCAACTGTGGTCCATGACAGCCCTAAGACCTCTGAATGCTTCCAAAGTGAGGTAAGGAGCTCTAGTGTAAACAGGACTAGAAGCCAGGAACTCTGTAAAATGCCTCAGGGCAAGCACCATCATTTTAGTGCTCCTTTAGTTTTGTGGAAACCCAGTCTGGAAAGGCTTCTGGGTTTATTTCCCACACTTTCCAAATGTGATCTCCTGAAGTATGGGCTCAGCTGATTCCTATGAAACATTTTGAACTATTTAAGTGTTTATTAGAAGAGCAAACATTTTTTCTCTTGGTGGTTCTGGCATATTGAAATCTACTTTTTTTTTTTCCCTGTGTTGCTTTTCTCATCACAGATAATAATGGGTGTGATCCTCCTCTATAACCTGTTGGGAGTGAGCGCCTTGGTCGGGGCTGCTGTCATTGTTCTCTTAGCCCCCATCCAGTACTTCATAGCCACCAAGCTGGCTGAGGCTCAGAAGAGCACTCTTGTAAGTGTATTATTTTAGTAATATTTGTGATCCAGAAATGAGAACATGGTTTCTGGGTTCTGTTCTTGTAGTTAGTGAAAACCACTGTGTGCATTTGGGCCAGCCATCCCTCAGTTTCACTGTCCCTCCATGTCTGTTTTTCTGTGTCTCAGTTTCTCTTCCTTCCTCAAAATTCGTCAGAAGAGAATCTCAGAAAAGTATGTGAGCATTGACCTGCCCTCTCTGCAATGAGTATTTTTAATCCAACTAGCACAATTTTGTCTGAATTCCATTCCATTAGAGTGTTATTCCCATATGCAGATGTTGTATTTCATGGGATGTTAGCAAACAGTGCAAATGACTGATAAATTGCAATAGGAAAGTATTAAAGAATGTGCACAACCTCCCTCTGTAAAGTCTAGAGACATTTTACTCTCAGTCAAAGCTTTGGTATTCTCTAAAAATCAGTTGGTACTGCTGGATTATTATCTATTCATATCTAAATTCTTCAGTGCTGTAAATTTGTTTTTCTGCCTCATTTATTTCACCAATTAGAAATGTTTCCTGCTCCTTTGTCTAATTTTTAACTTTATTGCTGTGACCCTTGAACTTTTTAAGTAAGTCTTTCATGTTTAAGTTGCCAAATATTTAGAGGTCCTTTTTGTCTCAATATTTGTTAAACAAATTATTGATGCATGGATCTAATTGCCAGCATACTTCAATCCTGTTGAGTTGTGCCAGTTTTTATAACCTGTACAAATTGTACAGAAAATTTATCTCTGCATAATTTCAGAAATAATCCCAGTCTTTCCTGATGCTCTATTCTGACTTCCTCTGACTCATCTTTTGGATTATGATTTTACCAAAACTCATGATTTTACCAAAAGTTATGATTACTGTTTACTGGTGAAGGGAAACTAGCCAAATACATTGATAATTATCTTGCTTATTTTCACAACTGGATCCCAGAATGATTCTTGCATCAGCAAATATACACATTTAGGTTTCTGTCTATTGTTATGGACACCATTGACCTACTAACCCACCTCCCTGAGTTTCATCCTCTCTTTGAAGGATTGGAATGTTTTGAGTTATTTTCCTGGCAGAAAAGGGTCACTTAATTTCCCCTAATGGTTGTAAATATTTTAATACCTCCAAAGAAAATGAAATTTTATATTATTTTTCTCAGTATGGCACCTGTACAAAATCACAAATGAACAAAATTTGGTTTTTTAATGAATTTAACAACAAAAGTGAGGAGAAAAGAGGTTTGTCATTAAGATTACAAATAGTTATCAATTTTTCCCTGGTTTTCTCTTGAAATGAAGGACTATTCTACTGAGAGACTAAAGAAAACCAATGAGATACTCAAAGGCATTAAGCTATTAAAGCTGTATGCCTGGGAGCACATATTTTGTACAAGTGTGGAAGAAACGAGAATGAAAGAGCTCACCAGTCTCAAAACCTTTGCACTTCATACTTCTCTTTCCAGTAAGTAACTGTCTTTTTAGTGCTTGGAAAAGTATCCTATTTTTCATGTCAGCATTCCTCCCAGCTTCAACTAAAGAGAGATACAGGTGTGCCTGTGACACTTCTGTCTGTGTGTAATGTCATTAAAATAAAAAGGTGTGATAAATACATAACACAGAAATTCGAAAGGATACAATACATATTGTTGATTTTTTTTTTTTTTTGCAGTAAGTTTTCTGTTACCTTCATTGTGACATTACAGCTAGGACTTGCTTTATAGTAAGGGGACTCCAGATAATACTGGCAGCTGTGACTGCAGCAAAGATAAATTATGTTTTCTGCATATAAATTGTGTTTTCTGAAATGTAAAAGGATCGAGTAATGCTTTACTTGTGTTTCATATTAATTGTGTACATAATGATTTTTATCTCAGTTTAGGAGAGTAGACAAATGAGAGAATTTCATGGCTTATTTGTTGGTGTGTTTAAGTTCTATGACTCTCAGGGAAGGAAATGTCTTCCTGCAGACTAATTTTCCTTTTGGAGTTTAAATTACTTGAATTGGAAATAACTGGATTATTTTAGTGTCATACACTTACTGTAAAATTGTTTTTTCTTATTTCCTATAATCTGATACTTATTTTATTTCTCTTCCCCAGTTTTTATGAATGCAGCCATACCAATAGCAGCTGTTCTTGCAGTAAGATATGGATTTTTTTCAGTTTTACTTATAAAAAAGGTAGAGGAAAGTGGGGGAAGGGGGTGTAAAAATGAAGTGCACCATGGTTATTGTAGGACCTATTCTTCATAAAACCAGCAGATGAATTAAGGGGCCGCTGATAACTGTAGGAGAACATGACGCTGGATGCTTTCATTCCCAGCAGGTTGATTGGTAAAGAGAAAAATAATTTTTTACTATAAGAAAAAAAAATCATTACATCTTGAATTTTTTACTAAAATAAAGGGAAAGGAAAGGTGCGGAAAGGAAAGG